AATAGCTCACTATTGAATTTTCTGTGAACTGATTTCTGACGAATTGAATTCTTCTATGTTTGAAGAAAACCATAAAGATGGACGCTTGAACTTAGCTTGATACGCATTATAATATTTTACGTTGTATTTGACTGAATACTATTATTTGGTTTGGTTATGAATATGGTTCTCGAATTCGTAAAACTAAAGAGAAACAACAATTTTGTTATTGTCTCAAAGATGGTTGTGATGGAACGACTCACTCGTTCTGAGATTATTTCAATAATGAATAACGATAATATATGAACGCAGTATATATATTCCAGCAGAGAGAAAAACGAGAGAGAATGATTAATGAATAGAACATTAGAACATGACAGATGTGCCCGATCGGGGTCATGAAGAGTAGTGACGGGTAGAATCCGTCACACACCCATCCGCCGCGATACGAGTGCATCGGCACGAGCAAAGACAATGATAGTGATTAAGAAGATAATAGAGTAACGATTTGAAAAAAACAAATGACAACTACTTTGATAGCTAGTGAATTAGAAGATGAGAGACAACGTATAACATTGTATGAACTATTATGTGTTCGATTAGATAGATGAGAAAAAATAATAATGCCAGATTGAAACAAATGTAGAAATGAACAACAAACATCATGAAAGAAAGAAAAAAAATGAAATGAAGAGGAGAAAAACACCAAACGAAATATACGCTCGTACACAATTATTGCTGGTGATCAATATAATTGAAACCGATAGACAGCAAATGAGAAGAATACGCAAAGAGAAGGAAAGTAAAAGTTCGATTGACGATCATTGTATATGAACCGATTATTTGACTATGATAATTCGATCATCTCGGTATTAAAAGCACTTGATAATCCAGGAAATGGTTGATCGTGGTTTGATGAGAAGACTGTTGCGTGTTCCTGTTGTTGTGTTGATGAGTTGATGGTGTTGAAGGTTGTTGACGATGTATCAGAGCGATGATTGGTGACGTGTTGACTTGTATTAGTGTTTGCTTGTGGTGCTTGACTACAGACTGTGCTGTATAAACGTGGTTTACGTTGAAGATGGGATTTAGTTGAGCATGAGGAGCATAGAATGACATAAGAGGAATTGGATTAGCAGGAGCATTGTGAAGTGGTGGTTCATTAACGTCAAGTTGTAATGACATAAGTGGTTGTGGAATTATTGTTTCATGAGATAATTGCCGTTTTAATGTTTTGTTTGATTGTGCTGGTGCAGTTATATGTGAGACATGTGATGCCAAAGTATCAGGAGTAGAATTTTCTTTCGATGAGGATATTGTTGATGAGATGGTAGAGGGATTAGTTTCATTGGAAGATGGTAAGAATGAGAAACGATTGACTGTGGTGGCATTTAAGATTGGAGAAAGTGTCCACGCTAGCTGAATGAGTCTAGTAGTGTGGAGTTGGGAGGAGGTGGATTCATTTATTTCTAAAAGAGTTTCAAAAAATAATTCATAAGTTGACGGTCGGAGACAGATAAGAGACCATGTAAGACGTATGACATCATCGGGATCGATATTATTGCGTCTGAGAAAAGCCGAGGATGAAGCAGAATCAAGGAGAGTGACAGTAGACAAGGCGGTCTGAAGCTGCGGATGAAAAGAGAAATGATCTTGGAGCCATTCACGGACTAAATTAAGAGTGGTGTCAATAGGAGGGAGAGAAGAGAAATTTGCTACATGAAAGTTTTTAAGAATGTTCCAAATTGATGCGAGTATGGAGTCATGTTGTTGATAAAAATACGTAGGTGCCATTTTCTGCGAGGAAAGGTAATATTTTATGATTATATATAATATTTTTTTTTTTTTGTTTATGTTTATTTATTTATTGAAGGATTATTATTAGGTGTTATTTAGATGATGTTTCGTGTTATTGATAGAGGAGGTAAGGCTACACGTAAGTCTTGTAACAAGCGTGTTGAATAGCAGCGACGAATATAACATATAGTCGTAATGGCAGCACATATTAAAATGCATCCTAATAGGAGTACGCTAATTACGGATAGGTACATTGGATGAGGAAGAGAGAACGTTGGTTTAGAGGATCTTTTCTCAACAAATTGCATCATTTGTTTTACTTCCTGCTCTAGAAGTTTAGTTGTAGACCAGCTATTATTACTCGTAATATGGCGATGCACATTAAGAGCGGAAACATTATTAAGAAATGAGGTGTTGTTATATAAAAAGATTACAGAGGGAGCATGTTGGTTAGTAGCACTATCTGTTAGTGAGGATCCAGGACAAACGATGGTGTGACCAGGTATTACGTTGATGAGAGCGACTGGTGGAAGAATAAGCTGCTCATTGAGACTTGACACTTGGTGAGAGAGTGGTTGAAGATCGGACTTGCTAACTGTTACACAATGAAATGATTGGAGGGAAGAAGTGATTCAAATGTTGTCGTGGAGTTGACGAAGAAAGAAAGGGGAAGAAGGAACTGGTTCCATGTGACATCTTGATAAGGGTAATCCGTTGAGAATTTGTCCTAAACAAGAAGTATTTGACATAAAACGAAATGGTGGAGTGTTTCTACAAGTTGTCATTAATCTGAAATCACATCCAAGATCGTTGTGATCATACCATTCGATAATGATATTATTCGACGGATTGATGGCGAAGTATCTCGGGAGTTTGGTTAACTGGAGAGTTTCATTCTCGTGAAAGAATGGAATGGTGATTAATTTATAAAGGAGAAAGAGAGGTGCATCAGATCGAGGAATTGCGAAGAAACTAGTAATTACTAATCGTCCAATTTCAGAGAGATTAGGGGTGGAGTAAAGTGTAGTAGGAATGAAGTCGATTTGTTGACGAATAAGCAGGCGGGTAATGATATGTGCTAGTGGTAAAGATCCAAGAGATGGATTAAAAGTTAAATTACCTTGACGAATAATACTATATACGACTGTGTGAAGATCAGATGGAGCTAGAAACGCAAGAGTGAGCTCATTTCGGAGAATTTGTCTGAGTGCTTGGTACAGAAATGAATGTTGAAATTGTATTTGTAGGAATGAGAGGCGATTTTGTAAGGCGTTAATAGTATCTGAATGATTGTCTACTAGGGGAATAATAGAGTCAAGGAGTCTTTGAGTCATTTGTAATTGTTCTGTTAATTGAATCTGATTTGACTGAATTGTCACTAGTTGAGCTCCATGAATCTTTGTGGTATCGGATAGCTCAGCGAGTGATTTCCCCACAAGTGCAACTTCTTTCTGTAAACCTGAGACTTGTATGGCGCTCGAAGCAGACATTCCGAAAGTAATTGCTCCTAAGCCTAAACCGATAATATGAACGGTTATATGACAAGTAGGAATTTTTTCGGCAGCTGAAAGTGGAAGGAAGTGACACATGCTATTAGTCATAGGGAAAATAGCTGAATTGTGAATAATCATTTCAGATGGAGTATAGGGACCGATATAATTTAGGAACAGACCAGATTCAGGATGAGCGATTGTAGTGTTTTTGGAGAATATATTTTCAGAAAACGTATGAAATACAGTGAGCAAGAATATCAGTAAGAAGAAAAGAGTCATTCTGGAGTTATGAAACGTAGTACTTACAACGTGTTGTTTTTCTTTTATTTTTGCTTGTTCGATTTAGACTTATATCCTTTTTTTTTTGATTATTTCGGCTTTTTATTATAACCGTAATATCAGTGAAGAAACAAAAACAATGTGTGATAGTGTAAGGAAGATGAAAAAGTGGATGAATGACCCGCTATGGATAAGTTAGAGAGAGGGAGAGATTTAATTTCTCTTTTTTTTTTGAATGCAGTGCTTATCCGACTGATAAGTTATATCTAATGATGAATAGGATTGGTGAAAGAGAGTGAAGGATGGGGTCAACAATAAATGTACGATTGATCATTGAACTCTTGACAGACAACTGCTTAACAGACATATTGCAGATTGATGGGAATATCTGCAGGATTAGAAACATGTTTGACAGTTGAAATATACACAGTGTCTAATGTGATAGATTTGCAATGGATCGAAGCGAAGGTCATTCTTTCTCAGTGTGACCGGATATATAGGAAAGGAAAAGGTTATTTAATGAACGTTGCATGAACGCGAGGTCATTGTTATGATATAGATGATGCTATAGATTCAATCGGTTAGGTCGTCTATGTATTCGAATCGGACGTTGATATAATAGTGGACGGGATAAAGAGGAGGACGGAGAGAGGTCATCATTGTTTGACGGGCGAGAAGGAATCATATTTGTAGCATTGCTTGTATTGTTGACACGAATATCATTCGGTTCATAGAATGGTTTAAGTCGATCAATGTTGGTGACTCCTAAATTTACTCCGTCAGAAAGACGCTGAATAATAAAAGAAGAGGGAGTAAGAACTTGAGTGATGCGACAAGGACCTTGATACTGAGGATAAAGTTTTCCATGTTTTAATACTGAAGGAATGCTAACCCACACAAGTTGTCCTTCTTTAAAAGAACGTTTAGAACTATGACTGTCATACTGATGTTTCTGCTGAAATTTGCGTACTTCACTATGTTCTTGAGCAAATTGATGAGATGTAAGTAATTGATGACGAAGTTGTTGTTTATAATTTTCGATTTCTGAGGATAGAGATGTGGGAAGTAGAGGTACATCATGAGTCGGTGTGGTTAGGAGTAGGTGTGGAGGTAATTTAGGATCACGTCCAAAATTAAGATATGCTGGTGTATCACCTGTTGTTTCATTTACTGAAGTTCGAATAGAAAAAGCAAGTTTCGATAGATGTTGATCCCATGATTGTGGATTTTCTTGAGCATATTGTGCTAACATTGGTTTAAGATTTCTATTGACTCGTTCAGTCATGTTTGTCTGCGGATGATAATTAGAAGTATTTCTATTTTTAATGCCTAGGGACGAACAGATATTAGTGAATAGTTCAGAAATGAACTGGGGACCATTATCGGAAAGAATATAGGTAGGACAACCCCAACGACATATAATTTCATTAACTAGGATATTAGCGATATCAGATGAAGTCGTTGTTCTAAGAGGAAATAGTTCTACCCATTGAGTAAAATAGTCAACAACTACCAGTAAGTATTGTTTTTGACGCTGTGTAATAGAAAACAGTCCCATAATATCCACTCCAATAGTATGCCATGGTTCTCGAACGATGTGCATTTGTAATGGAGAGTTCATTATTTGATTAGAATATTTGAATTTCTGACATGACTGACAACTTTGAATATACTGAGTGACATCTTTTCGCATAGTATCCCAGTAGACTCGGCTTGAGAGACGATAAAGAGTCCGGCTGTCGGATGATCATGTGTCCAAGATAGGAGTTCTTGTTGCATAGATTTCGGAATAACGAGTAAGTGAGGAAGTCCGACTGATCGTTGATAGATATTTTTTGATGGAGATCGACATTTATAGAGAATACCGTTAATTAGAGTAAAAGAGGGATAGAGATTATTAATGAAGGGATGACTGAGACCTGATAATTTATCAATGATAATATGAAGGTGAGGGTCTTTATATTGTTCGATTCGGATATTTTCGAGGAGAGTACAATTGTCCCAAAAATTGAGTGTAGATGTATGTATTGTTACATTTAACACAGCTAGATTCGGGAGAGGATAACGAGATAATGAATCAGAGTTTGTATTTGTTTTTCCTGGTTTATATTTGATGCTAACAATGTTAAATGCTGATAGACTTATTGCCCATTGAGCTAATCGTCCAGACGAATCTTTTGTTTCAAGAAGCCATTGTAGTGCCCTACAATCAGATCGAATATAGATTTTTGTACCTTCTAAATATTTGTAGGAAAATAATTTCTCTCAGCTGCTGTTTGAGTTCGGCTAGCGTAAGCAATAACAAGTTTTTTTATTATCATATTCTTGAGTAAGGACAGCACCAAGACCATAATCACAGGCATCTGTTTCCAAAATGAAAGGTTCATTAAAATTTGGAGCTCGAAGTATAGGAGCCTGAGTAAGTGCAGTTTTTAATCGTTCAAAGGCTATAGTACACTCAACAGACCATTCTATGTTATTTGGTGGAGGTTTAGATTTTTGATGAGAACGTATTTTAGCGTAATCTTTTATAAATTTTCTGTAGTATCCAGTTAAGCCTAAAAATGATTGAATGTCTTTTAATCGTGTAGGTTGAGGAAAAAGTTTCACGGAGTCGATTAGACCGGGATCAGGTTTAATACCGTCAGGAGTAATAATATGTCCTAAGTACTTTAATTCTTTTCTACAAAAATCACATTTTGAGGCTTTAAGAGTAAGTCCAGCAGTTTTGAGATGATCAAAGACAGAGGATAAATCTTTAAGATGTTGTTCAAATGTGGAAGAGAATACGACAATATCATCTATATAGACAAGACGTGACTGTCATTTTATTCCAGCTAAGATAAGATCCATTAATCTCTGAAATGTGGCAGGAGCATTAGACAGTCCAAAAGGCATGACTAAAAATTCATAGAGGCCGCGATGAGTAATAAACGGTGCTTCCCTGAGTGAATCAAGGGTATCGTCAACTTGAGGCATAGGATATGCTGTACGAATTGTATTAGCATTCAACTTTCGATAATCAACACAAAATCTGAGTGTATCATCTTTTTTAGGGGATAATACGATTGGAGATGCCCAAGGACTATGTGAAGGAGTAATATGACCAGCTTGGAGCATCTCTTCTAGTTGTTGATCGACTATAGCTTTTTCAGATGGGGGGAGACGATATGGTTGAGTGTTTGCGGATTGTGTTCCTGGTTAAAGTTCGATTACGTGTTTAACAAGATGAGTGCGACCAAGTTTCTCGGTGAAAACTTGTGGATATTGTTTAATAAGTGTAACTAGTTTAGCTTTTTGAATATCGTTTAAGTCAGAATAGGATAAATCAGGGAGACATATTTGTTCTTCTTCAATAGGATGAGGTGTATGAGATAATCTTGATATGCTATTCAATTGATGTTCAGTCAATAGTTTCATAACGGCTAGTTTTTGTTGAGGATGAACCTCGATAGAATGATGAGAAAAATTTGAGATTTCAATAAAAAGTGATTTACTTGGTGAGATAAGACCATTGGCTACACGAGGATTTTCATGAAGTGAAGAAACGGAATATGTTTCATCTGAAGAAAATTTAGAGAATGGTTTCGTAGGTTGAACAGGGATAATCATAGAGTGGTATGGAGGTAAAGAATGTGCTTCAATAGCTGCTAAAGAGTATGATGACGAATTGGAAGAGGTAAGAGAAGAAGTGTTATACTGATCGAGAGATGACAATTGAGATGCAAAAGAATTTGTATCTTGTGACTGGTTCGGAAAAATAATTTGATCGTGTGTACCGCCGACATGAATATCATGTTTTCGTAAAAAATCCAAGCCGATGATACAGAAATGTTCAATTCGAAGAGACCGTGTGTACGTAAAGATTGTCCATTAGCACAACGTACTGTTAGGGATGGAGATTTAATAGGGATAAGTTTGCATGACTTTTGCTCGATTTGACGAAATGCCTCAACACTAAGTACAGTGAAATTCGAGCCAGTGTCAATAGTAAATTTTGTTGGGTACCCTTCTAATGTACCCATTGACATGTAATAGTTGGGAAGAAGAAATGAAAGAATTATGGATAGAACTAATAGAGAGAGAGAGGGGATTTTCTATTTAGATAATTTTCGGAGCCCCGCCACCTCCCATCAGTAAGACTCCGTCTTAGTTTTTTGAATTTGAAGGATATCTGGAAAATTGAGTACGAGTACATTGGGATGCTAAATGTCCTGGAATATTACATTTATAGCAGATAATATGAGATTGACGAGAATTAGATGTGTGGGAGCGAGTTGACGAATGAAGAGTAGCTGAAATAGTAGTATTAGATTTTTCAATATGCACAGTTTGTTTGGAACGGGAAAAATCAATAAGTTCAGCTTCTCGGGCTCGCTCAAGAAAATTTTCAATAGTAGGATCGCTAAGAACACCGATCAGAGGGACTAATGCAGGTCGAATTTTAGTAAAAAGGTGTCTAACAAGATGGCGCTCCGTTTCGTTCCGTTTGTGTTCTGACCAAAGACTGCGTAAACGAACGAGAAATTCGCTGATTGATTCATCAGGTCGTTGAATGCATCTATTCCATTCTTGCTCGATTTGAGTATACCACTCAAAAGCAGTACCTTTCAAAAATTGGCCCATATTTTGAAGTAACATATCTTTGTCGCATCCATAAGATGAGTTGGTATATTGATGGAGTTGTAAGAGGAGGAATGGACGTGGTTTTGCTTCAGTTTTGCCTGAAAAAGAAGGAGCTGTTGTTGGATGATGACTGTTTGTCGTGCAGAGAGAGAGAGAGAGACTAAGGTGTCTTGTGGAGAAGGACCATTTAGTAAAGAATGAGAGTGTATGTAGTTATTAGAAGAAGAGGGAGGTAATGGAGTTGTTGGAGAGGGTACGGATGGGGAAGTACGAACAGCAGCAAGTGTTACACGAATTCAGCCGTTAATTCGGATATTTGTGTAGAAACATAAGTACGAAAGTCCTGAAATTGAGTATCTAAGTGTTTGAATCGTGTCATCTAATTGCTGATATTTTAATTCATGAACCGTGGAGAGATGATTTACTTTTCTCATTGAAATCCTGTTCGAATTGAGTTACTGTGGACTGTACGGTGGTCAACGTGTTTTCGATAGAAGTTGTGCGTGTTGCTTCAAGTTGTAGTTCATCTCGAAGACTAGTGAGATATTTATGTAATTTCTGCCCGTCAGATTCGGTCATAGTTAAAATAGGATCGTGCTAAAGTAAGACAGAAAAATAGAAGACTATACTACTAATAATAGTAAAAAGAAAAGAAAAAAAAACCAAAGAACAAGATGAAAAATTTCAAAACAAAAAAAGAAAATAATGTGCTGAAGTGAAGGGAAAAATGTAACCAAAATTCGATTGGTGTGATCGGCAGGTTGTGATGGAGCGACTCACTCGTTCTAAGATTATTTCAATAATGAATAACGATAATATTATGAACGCAGTATATATATTCCAGCAGAGAGAGAACAATGAGAGAGAATGATTAATGAATAGAACATTAAGAGTAGTGACGGATAGAATCCGTCACAATGGTCATATGAAAATAATCGATCTAAAGAAAGATAACAGATAAAAAAATAATATAAATTTCGAATCGCTTCATTTCAGTGTAGATACACGAGGTGGATTGAATTTTCTCTTTGTCTGTTTTTTTTTATTCTACGTAGTCTAGTTATATAAGAATGAAAAAAAAAGCATTCATTCGTTAGAATATTTTTATTGTCAATTGCATCACATATTTTGTCTATATATATTAGTAGAACAGAGCGAAATATATTCTACGCTATAAGATATAAAGAAAATATTTAATGACTGTGTGCGAATATAAACTTTTTGATTTTAATTAAATAATTTCAAAGAAAAAAAAACCATAAATAGTGATTGAACAAAAATATCAAGTTTGAGTATATATTTTTTTCGACTGTAAGAATTTTTTTTAAAGCTATATTGATTTAAAATGATTTATGCTGAGTTACAATGTGTTAAAAGCTGATTTAAAATAAGTTACGATGATTTAACAGATTTAATTTTGAGTTTTTAGCTGATTTTTATATCAGTCGATTACCCTCCTTACTTCGTGATTCCTTTCAGTAAATTGTAAATATAATCTGTTTTTTTCTAGTGTGTGCGTGTAGTTCATTTAGATATCTTGTTGAGTAGCGATGTGTGGGTATCAGTTTGATGAGACGAATTTATGACAGAAATCCTCACACAGACAGGCATACCATCATGCACAATAAGCTTGATATTAGTATCAGCATCCACACACACATACTTTTTCAAATGTTGGATAACAGCTTTGTTGAGAGCTGCAAAGAAGTATAAAATATCAAACGAGCCGAATATTTAGTGGAGAATAAAGCGAGTTTACATAGATGAATGTTGCATGTTTTGTCGCATTTACAATTTGATGAGATAATTGCAAATGAAAGTCAAACAAGAAATAGGTCATATATATTTCATAGAATAATGTTTCAAAAATTCGAGACACTCTTTCATAGATAAAGCAATATAATAAAAGACATGCTTCCAAGAAAGAGGTGATCGCAACATATCGAAAAACTAGTTTGATCAGTTCATGATTTTTATATGTGAATTAGTTGCAAAATCATAGAAGAAAACCCACATTTCTCATACATTCTCCATCATCCTAAACATAAACACAAAAAAAGAGTTAAAAAAATAATTGTTGTTAACAAAGTTGAGAACTTGACTCAAAAAGAATTCTCGTCTTGTAACAAAATCCTATTTCTATGAAGAGAAACTTTCTCTCTCTTATTTTAATAATTTTTCTTGTCTCTATTTTAGACTATCCATTACGTTCTCCATCCAGCACCAACATTCATCCGAATGCTCGATGGCAACAAAATGGTATCACTGTAGCTGGAGGAAATCGACAAGGCAATGGAATCAATCAACTCTCAAACCCATTGGGTTTGTATGTTGATGATGATCAAACAATTTATGTTGCTGATCGAGCGAATCACCGTATTGTGGAATGGAAACGAGGTGCAACAAGTGGCCAAGTGGTTGCCGGTGGAAATGGACAAGGAAGTGGAGATCATCAATTGCATAACCCAAGAGATGTGATTATCGACAAAGAGAGAGATAGTCTCATCATATGCGATTATTCGAATAGAAGAGTGGTTCGATGGCCTCGTCGAAATGGGACAAGTGGAGAAACAATCATCTCCAACATCGCTTGTATGGGTTTGACAATGGACGAGAATGGATCTCTCTATGTCACTGATGTTGAAAGAGATGAAGTGAGACGATATCGAAGAGGAGAATCTCAAGGAACAGTGGTTGCAGGTGGCAATGGAAATGGAAATCGTCTCGATCAACTCTCTTTCCCACGATACGTATTCGTCGATCGAGATCATTCAGTGTACGTATCTGATGAGATAAATCATCGTGTGATGAAATGGATGGAAGGTGCAAAACAAGGCATTGTCGTGGCTGGTGGTCAAGGAGAAGGAAATGATCTTACACAATTGTCATCTCCTCGAGGAGTCGTTGTCGATCAATTGGGCACTGTCTATGTGGCTGATTGGAGGAATGATCGAATCATGCGTTGGCCTAAAGGAGCCACACAAGGAAGTGTCATTGTTGGTGGAAACGGTAGTGGAGAACAATCGAATCAACTTCATTGGCCCGTCGGTTTGTCATTCGATCGACACGGGAATCTCTATGTCGTCGATAGCATCAACGCTAGAGTCCAGAAATTCGAACTCAAATCCAATCCGAACTCAGCCTTAAAACCCAGAAAATAGCGTCAAAAAACAAAAACTTTCACAAAATGATTCATCCAATTAACTAATTGCTTAATTAACAAAAGTAAACATTAATTAATACTTTATACACTAAGCATATTACAAACAATAAATCAATAACAACTGTCACGAAATGAAAAAACACCCATCGTATAGTAGGAAACCGTAAACACACATAAAAACGGAAACAACAAAACATGGCGGAGACCTGGCTGACTTTCCTCAAAATGGAAACCTTGGATTTTCCACGTCGATCCCAAGGTTTCCATGAGAGGCAACGAAGTCTGGCACTTGGAATATTGTAGATCATGATGAATTCTATCAGATTCCAAGGATTCCAAAAGATTGTAAAGTGAGAACCCATGCAGCTTTCGACCTCCAGAAAACCCCTATGGTATCCATCGGCCCTTAGAAGCATTGCCAATGCTTCCAAGGATTCCATGACAGACAACAAAGTCTGGCACTTGGAATATTGTAGATCATGATGAATTCTATCAGATTCCAAGGATTCCAAAAGACTGTAAAGTGAGAACCCATGCACCTTTGGACCTTCCGAAAACCACTATGGTCTCCAAAGGACTTTTGAAGCATTACCACTGACTCCAAGGATTCCATGATTGACAACAAAGTCTGGCACTTGGAATATTGTAGATCATGATGAATTCTATCAGATTCCAAGGATTTCAAAAGATTGTAAAGTGAGAACCCATGCAACTTTGGACCTCCAGAAAACCCCTATGGTCTCCATAGGACTTTTGAAGCATTGTCAATGCTTCCATGGATTCCATGAGAGACAACAAACCCTGATACTTCGAATATTGTAGATCATGATGAATTCTATCAGATTCCAAGGATTCCAAAAGATTGTAAAGTGAGAACGCATGCAACTTTGGACCTCCCGAAAACCCCATATGGTCTCCATAGGACTTTTGAAGCATTAAAGCTGACTCCAAGCATTCCATGAGAGACAACAAAGTCTGGCACTTGGAATATTGTAGATCTTGATGAATTCTATCAGATTCCAAGGATTCCAAAAGATTGTAAAGTGAGAACCCATGCAACTTTGGACCTCCCGAAAATTCCTATGGTCTGCAAAGGCATTTTGAAGCATTACCATTGACTCCAAGGATTCCATGAGAGACAACAAAGTCTAGCACTTGGAATATTGTAGATGATGATGAATTCTATCAGATTCCAAGGATTCCAAAAGATTGTAAAGTGAGAACCGATGCAACTTTGGACCTCCAGAAAACCCCTATGGTCTCCATAGGACTTTTGAAGCATTGTCAATGCTTCCAAGGATTCCCTGAGAGACAACAAAGTCTGAGACTTCGAATATTGTAGATCATGATGAATTCTATCAGATTCCAAGGATTCCAAAAGATTGTAAAGTGAAAACCCATGAAACTATGGACCTCCAGAAAACCGCTATGGTCTCCATAGGACTTTAGAACCATTACCGCTGACACCAAGGATTCCATGGGAGGCAACAAAGTGTGGCACTTGGAATATTGTAGATGATGATGAATTCTATCAGATTCCAAGGATTCCAAAAGATTGCGAATTGAGACCTCATGCAACTATGGGCCTCCTGAAAATCCCTATTGTGTCTGTAGGTATTTTGAATCATTGCCAAGGCTTCCAAGGATTCGATGAGAGGCAACAAAGTGTGGCATTTGGAGTATTGTAGATCATGATGAATTCTATCAGATTGCAAGGATTCCAAAAGATTCTGAAGAGGGAGCCCATGCAACTGTGAGCATCCCGAAAACCCCTATGGTATCCATTGGTATTTTGGTGGATAGGAAGGAAGCCGCGGAGTCGATGGAATGAAACAATATCTGGCATGCAGAATATTGTTGATTGTGATGAATTTCTGGCAAGGGGGAAACAACTGACTCCGGGAGTCCGGGACTCCTTGGGACTTCATGGGACTCCATACATATGCGGAGTTCAAAAGCCCTTGCTATTATTTAAATCTACTGCTTTTCACGATTGATTACTAAAAACAAAGAAAAGAAATTATATAAGTGAAAATATGTTAACATTTGGGAAGATACGAAAATTATTCAATTACTGTTTGCTCAAAAGAAGGGCTTTTATTACTATCAACATCTCATATATTTGCTTAAAATTCATGGGTAGAGTGTAAAACAAATTAAGAAAAAAACATATGTATAAACATAAAAATAATAAATTACGAAATAGACCAAGCATGTA